GTGGGATGGGTTAATTATATTATATTATAATTAAATATTTAATAATAAATTAATTTAATAATTTATTATTTCATAAATAAAAATTTAAATTTTTTTTAATAAAAATCTGATTTTAGAAATTTCAAACTTGTGTTCTTATTTTTTAAATAGGCTAAACTTATTTTCTTGAATATGTAATCTTCCCTCAATTAAATCGATTGTCCCCATTTAGATATTTGGATACCCATTGAGCTCTAAATTTAAATGGCTTTGCTAGGGGATAAATCACCGTGTACATCGGGGTGTACAACCCCCTCACATGGAGGCCGAGCCCGCTCGATTAAATAAATATTTTACACAAGTGGGTCCCACCCCCATTTGAGGGGGGTGTAGACTTTGATGTACATCTTTTTGATGTACAAGTAGATTTACCCAAATTTAAAACACCAAGGGCCTATTTCTTTTTAACATTTTCAAGTTGTTTTTCGTTTTCGATTTTTCAAAACAATGAAAACGAGTAATGGACACTCAAAATACAAAACTCAAAACTGAAACACGGCCGCTAAATCCTTCAGTGCATATTCTATTTTTTCTAATTTTCCCAATCTCATTTTCAAGTTGAAAACATATAGTTTAGATTCGATTCTTTGCATGTCCCAAAATAGCTTCGAGCAAATAATTTTACTATAATTTTCCTCCGGTAGAAGAGTTCAGGTTCGACTTTGGCGCTGATAAAGCTGCTTTTGTTGGTTACACTGAAATATAGTCTCTCAGAATTGGCCAATTGACCAACTTATTGAAACACAATTTTCCGACATCATTTACCTAGGATTCTTGAAATAGGTTAAGTTGCGAAACACATACACGCCTAGAAGGGAATCTAGTAATGTTCAATATTCACACGCATCATAATTGTTCACTGCATTGTCCATTAAATTGAGGAAGACTCTGAAGGATCATAAGCTTAGAAAGAGTTCTCATTTTTAATGCTCGCAGTCAAAAGTACATGTAATGACGAAGGGGGAAAGTGTAAAGAAGATAGTTTACACATGTTAGAGTCATATTGTTTGATCAATGATAAGGATGGCAACAGAGCAGGGCACTTGGCCGGGGAATTTTGGTGACCGGGATTAAAAAGTACGGAAAAATTGCAGCTGGGATTTCAAACTTTTTCAAAAGTTACAAGTGGGTCTCAAACCTATAATGACAAAAATCAGTTTAACCAATGAAGTTGACTGGGAAATGAACAAAATGGATACTCGTGTCACTGCTAATGCAGTTGACTGGAAAATGAACAAAATTAGTAGTTTTTCGTAAGGAAAACTTGGTTTACAATGATGAAAGCAACACACGACTTGATGGACAAATTCGCTGCAATTTCGTATTCACTATTTTATATTTGTATCAATGAACCAAGCCTGGTGGTCATATCAATATTTTCCATGTTCCTCGGTGACACTGAAAACAACTCGTAGTTTTCTCGGATGAAGCATCTTTTGATTTTAAGCATCGGATAGAGACTTTCTTCGCCAAGGAATCTTGAAAATAAGATGAGCATAAATCCAGGATCTGTAAGAGTCGAGATAATTTCTAGAGCTGTCGGTGCAACCATAAGGTCCATAACGAATAATTAGTACACGAGTGGATAGCAGTAAATGAAAGTTCTAATGGTGCATAACGGCTAAGTCCCTACTATTTTTTTCTTTCCGACGAAAAAAAAATACCCATTCAATTCTCTTCCGTATATTTCATTGTTCTTGAAGTACCAAAAAGGCATCAATAATAAAAATTTCGCTGCAATCTTTTCACTGAAAAAATTGTTGGTAAAGCTTCAGTTGGTGATGCTCAGTGGCAAAAATGACTTCTTTAGATTTTGCATTTTTTTTTATTGTTTTAAATTTTTAAATAACTTATTGACAAATTTATTAAATTGGCAATTTGTATAACTTTTCTCAAATTTAATTTTAACATTCAAAAGTAATACGTAGCAGACCCAACTTTTATAGCCATCATCCAATTGCATTTTCGTGGTTCTTCACACCTCCTTAACAATATACTCACATAAGCAGATCCGACTTTCATCCAACTAATACAAGTACTACATATGAAAGCATAAGAACACGAATATAACGAACTACCTCCTAATTTGCGTTGATTCTGTAGATTCCAATAGGTTAGGGATGAGAAAAAAATGCAAATTTCCCAATGTCATTTTTATTCAATCCATGAAGTAGTGTTGTCCCATACGAAGATCTATCAAAGAAACATGTGTGGATAAGAATTCAATTTGGAAGTGCAAAACTTTGAAACAAATATATTTTAATTAAATTTTTGGGCATGCTTGGGAGATAAATATTGTCGAAAGTTACCAGGACCAATGCTGTATATTCTTTAGTCTGAGAACCAGATGCAGAGATTCCAGGACAAATGGTCGCAAGTTCTACCTCATTATTCGTCACCAAAACTCTCCACAGCTGCATATTCCGTTACTAAAATGATGAAATCGACTTGTGTCTCTAACAGTTATTTCTCTCTTAGTGATGATTGTGATGTATTTTAGAGCAGTATGGCAGTCACCACATACCCTCAAATTCTTGGTAACAAGAATATGCTTGTTGGGTTTTAGGCTAATAATTCCAAATGCAACAGCAAGTTTTTCACTGTGATGAAGTAGTATCTTTTCCTTCTCCTCCTCTTCCACATCTTGGTACACAAAATTAGACTCTGGTTTATAGCCCAATATTTTCATTTCTGCCGAGAGTTCCTCCAATTTCTTGTTTATCTTAGCTGACTCAGGATGAGACACATCTCCTCCAACAAAAGCATGAACAATCCCATTTACTTCGACCCAACTACATCCTGGGCTTTTCTTAATGCCCAAATCCTTCTGCTTGATTCTGACATGTGCAGCATCATCCCATCGTCGAGCAGTTGTGTACAAATTAAATAAGAGGACAAAATTTCCAGTACTTTCAGGTCCCAAGCTCTGGATCCTATTTGACACTTCTTCCGCTAGTTCAATATTCTTGTAGATCCTACAAGCAGCTAGTAATGCAGTCCATATATGAGCATCAGGTTCAAACGGCATTCCACTAATTAAATGCTTAGCTTCATCCAAAAGACCTGCACGGCCCAATAGATCTACCATGCAGAAGTAGTGATCCATCCTGGGAACAATATTATATTCTTGAGTCATGGAGAGAAACCAATGCTTTCCTTCATTTACAAGCCCCGAATGGCTGCAAGATGATAGGAGAGCAATGAAAGTTACGTCATCCGGTGTTTTGCCTACATTCAACATTTCATGGAACACAGAAATTGCTTTCCCCCCAAGCCCATGAATTCCATAACCAACAATCATTGCGTTCCAGGAGACGACATCCCTCTCACACATCTTATCGAAGACAAGCCTAGCCACATCAATCTTACCACATTTGGAGTACATATCAATTAGAGCATTACAAATTGAGACTTCTCTTGTGAATCCATGCACTATTGAGTAGCCATGACCACAGATCCCATGTTGCAGAGCTGCCAAATGAGAGCAGGCTGGCAAGAAACCCATCATGGTTGCTGATTCCGGTTCAACCCCCGATAGTTGCATTTTGAGAAAAAATTGCAGAGCTTCCTCTGCATTTCCATTTTGAACACTACCTGAAATTATAGCACTGTAAGAAACAGAATCTTTCACCCGCATTTCCTCAAAAAACCTCATGGCATCATTGATCGACCCACACTTTGCATACATTGAAAGAAGTGTGTTACTCACCATTAAATTGGAAAAATAGCCCAGTTTAACCGTGTAACAATACATCTGTCTCCCTAGATTCAGGTCACTAAGTTTAGCACAGCCACGAATAACAGTTGCAAGCATAACATGCGAAGGACTAACATCAACTTGCACCCTCATTTTCCGAAACAAATCCAACCCCTCTCTTATGGCATCACAAATGACAAAAGCGCCAATCATAGAAGTCCAAGTAATTTCATTCTTGAACCTCAAGGCACCAAATATCCGCCTTGCATAAACCAACCAGCCACATTTCCCATACATATCCAAAAGTCCAGTTCCAACCACTTCCTCACCATCAAAACCCTTCCTCAAGCAAAATCCATGTATAGCTTTTCCTTCCCTCCACCTACCTGCCTCCCCAATCGCTGGCAGAATCGCCACAACAGTAGACGAATTGGGATTCACCCCCATCTGTTGCATCTCTAACACCAATCTAATTGCATCCAAACACAACCCATGTATTGAAAACCCTGAAATCATTGCGTTCCATGCCACAACATCTCTCTCTAGCATTCTGTCGAACACCTCAATTGCTTCCACCAAACATCCACACTTCATATAAAAATCAACCAACGCAGTACAGACATAAACATCACAGCCAAGATTGAGCCTTTTAACGTGCCCATAAATCTTCACACCATTTTCCACATCCTGCAACGCAGAACAAGCCTTTAGCACAAAAGGGTATGTAAATTTTGTTGGTACAACACCAGAGTCCACCATTTCATAGTACAAATCAATGGCTTTCTCAAAGGGTCCATCCCACGCATAAGCCCTGATCATTTGGTTCCATAATATGTTCTTATTTCTTCTTTCTGAGATTGGTATTGAGTTGAAGACACGTTCTGCAACTTGAGGCTTATTGCATGAGATGTAGAGGCGAGTGAGCTTGTCTAGTAGCAGCGACTGAGTACTAAAGTCGTTGCTTAATTTGATGAGATGCTGATGAATTGTTTTCCCTTGTTTGAGTGATTTTGATGAAATGCACGCTTCAAGAAGCTGCACATAATTATTGATGTTGAAGACAAGGCGCATAATGACACATCTTCTCTTCGGAGTCTAGTTTTCAGAAAGATCGAAGGCTGTCTACTCAGAGCATTTATATGAGTTGCTAGTGAGTTCTTTGAGGTGAAAAATATTTTGGGTTACACAACTAGGCAATTACATAAGAATTTCAAAAAGCAATTGCATCTTAAAAGGGTTTTGCGACATGAACAGGGCCAAGTAGGCCAATAGGGGGCTCTTTGGAAAGTTGCTGTAATCTTTTGTCATGTACTTAATTTTCCGTAATTTTTTGACTTGTAAATTTTTATAGTGAAATTTAGAAAACCCTAATATGATAAGTTACAGTGATTGGAAAATATTGATAATGAGAAAAAGAAGGATCAAATATTTATATATGAGCGAGTTACGGATCTTCATATATGATGCACGAGGTGGTGGAATCGACGATTATTCATTAGAGTCTGTTATGTGCGTTGATGATTCCCGAAATCCATAATGGGGTTGGGTTTGTTGCTATGTGTTACGTATGTGTTTGTATTGTGTGCATTGGGTAATGTGGTGTATGTTTTTGCACTAAGTCATAAGTTTTTTAAAGTTCTAAATGGAATGTCACAATATTACTCTGTATTCGACATACATTTGACTAACTCTTAGATTCCTAGTAAATGGCACCCTCTTATTGGACTCAATTTAGTCATGTTGCATGCTAAGATATTAAGGATGCCTTGGCTAGGACGAGGAGAAGTTATCATACTCGATGATAAGTACCTTTCGGGGCAAATATAGGTAATAATAATTGATCAACCTTATTATTGCATTAGCTTATTAGTTATTGGTAGTTCAAGTAGGTGCACTGTTTTGTTCAAAAGTCCCGAACCGAATCAGACCGAACTGAACCCGAACCGAACCGAACGGTTCTTCATAAATTAAATACCCGATAGGGTATTCGAATCGAGAACCGATGAGTTTGGGACCGAAGAATCGAAGAATAAAATAAGAACCGAAACTAAATAATTTTTTTATTTTTATATTGAATTAATTAAATTATTTTATTTTTTTATACAAATTAGCAAATTAATTAAATAAATTAGATTATTTCATAATTTTAATTTTAAAACCCAAATCATTTTTAAAATCCATTAGCCCATTTTAATTTGAAGCAAATGAATATACTTTATGCAGTTTTGCTGTAATATTAATATATATTTTTTGATATTTGTATGCATTAAATTAATCTTATTGGACGGCTAGTTATTTATATGTTTTTGAATTGTGCTACATTAATTTGTAAAAGTTACGAATGAAATGTCATTAGTTATATTTATGTAGTGTTGAAAATATTAAAAATTTTAATTATGGTACGGAACCGAACCGACCCGAACCGAACCGAACCCAACCCGAACGGTTCCATAATTATATTTGGACCCGACGGGTCCATTTATTAAAGGGAAAATTGCGGCCGCGGTCCCAAACCTTTCATTTTGTTGCAGATTACACCCAAACCTTTAATTTGTGCAGTCGAAGTCCCAAACCTTTATATGTAATAGCAGCATCGGTCCCAAACCTTTACTTGTTGCGGTAGAAGTCCCAAATATTTGTACATAATTGCAGCGTCGGTCCCAAACCTTTGTATGTAATTGCAGCGTCGGTCCCAAGCCGTGAATTCCGTCCGTAAAACCGTTAGTCAACGTTGAAACAGTAATTTTCACTCGAAAAAATTACAGCACCGGTCCCAAACCTTTCATTTTGTTGCAGATTACACCCAAACCTTTCATTTTTGCGGCCGAAGTCCCAAACCTTTATATGTAAT